ATCGTTCAATTAATGGTTATCATTATCATCCATTTATACAAAGAATCACCGATGTGATTGATACAATAAGTGTTTCACAAAGAACTGAATCTCCAATTACTATGATCACATAATGAATGAAACAATGTATAGAAATAACAATCAGATTCAGTCTTCCTTCAAGCACTCCCTCTCGTTTCAAGATACTTCATTCAACACGTCTCTAACTGACAAAATAGTTAATTTCCTGATGACAAAATATGCGAACTGAAAGTCACGATTGCTATATGAGATGAGGTTTGTTCGCTGTACGTTTATATACATGATCACATGAACATCTTTTAAAAAATCTCTTCAACTTGATATATTGTTGACGGTTTGTCACGTCTGACCGTTTGCGTACATAAACGAAACAGCACAAAACTCAAAATGATAAAACATCCATTTAAGAACTATAAAATAAGAATTGCATCTTACAAATATTATTATAACTCACTAATGCACTGACAACGCAGTCTGTTGTCATAAATCGTGGTGCAAATATAGGAAAATAAAATAAATAAAGAAAATCGTATGAAATACCACGACGAAAAACACGTTCAACTTGAATCAATGTTATTAATTGAAATTGATGATAATAACAGCAGAGAATAATAATCTAAATTATGATATAATATTATTAATCGAACGAACACAAAATGTATACGAAAACTGAATGAAAAGACTATCACCGATGTGAGAGAGTTATATAAGGAAACCTCCTAACGGCAAAAAGTTCAGGCGACATTCTTCTTTGCTCAGAACAATTTTATTCCAATCGCAACATCTCAACCCGTCACGAACAGAGGTTTCTTTTAGCTTCCGAGTATTCACCTGAATAATGGCGAAAGGGTGGCCATTAAAAATATGTTCGATAAAGCGATGAAGAATGACACTTGAGAAAAGTAAAACAATCATAAACACGCATATTAAGTGCTGCCGCAAATTCAAGAACAATCGAACAGCAAATGAGCTGTGGAATTGAAGAAATACTTGAGGCAGCTTCGAGCTCTTGATCAGGCTTAGGTTTTATGGTGTCATTTATTTTTCGAACTACACGATTTGAATCAATTAAAGTACATCAATCAATGAAGTGAATATTTCCATCTAACATCATTAGTGAACACATTCTAAACTTCAATTCAAAAACTTATTATGTTTTGAAAGAAATGCTCAAATTTCTCTGAAAGCTATCGTTGAGGGTGTGAAAAGGATCTAACAGAATAAGAAAAGAAACAATAAAATTGAAAAACGTCATCAAAACAAAAAATACAACGTTCGCGCTGTGCGTCGAAGAAGTGAGCATTCAAAGAGCTGTATGACGAGCATGATGAATCAAAACACAACTTTAATTATTTGAGAATCGACTTTTCTGACCGTAACGCTAGACCACTTACATCACCTTAAGTACGACGAACGACTTGATTGGTTAAGATCGGCTCTTATTAACTTCCTATATTAGGTAGATTTATGAAATAATGGACAAAGAAGACATGCGCATATTTTGCTACGATCCCTAAATCTGAAAGGATATTTGAGCTGATTTAAGCCGCGATTTCAATGAATAGTTGAGAAGCAATTGCACTTTGAGTGGTGAATGAAGTGTTATTGATACGGCAGAAAGAAAGAGACGGAAAGATGAGAACGCTGAGATTAGGGAAAAAATCAACGAGGAACATAGGTACAGAGTGAATAAATACGAGACTACTTTATGCGTAAGAATATCATTGATTCATTCAGCTCAATGAGCACGCTTATATAATATTTGTTCTTACGCTCTACTAATAAAATCACTACTGAAAATCAGTCGAAGAGTCAAACACAATCTGGTGCCATCTTCATACACAACTGAATCCTCAACGCGTCTTGCAAACATTTTTGAAATATTTTCTACTACTTTCTCGTAAAAAAGCAAGATGATATCGGAGTAATGTCGAAATTAGTTTCATTCTTGGAACTCTTTATAATCGAAAACATCAGAAAGGAGGACGCTTTGATATCAGCATTTTACTTGAGCGGTAATGTGTGCGGAGAGATTAGGATACCACAAATGAATAAAATAAACGAAAGTGATGTGTTTGACAGTCGTTGATCAACACAGCAATAAGTAAATGAAACATTTTGCTGATCGAAGAAATGAAAAACGAAGTTATCAATCGATAATGATCAGAACTAAGAGTGGGATTAGAAACTAAGTTGAGGTTCCTCTTCATGGCACCAGCGTTCGCATCATCCGACGTTTGTAACGAATTTCGCGTTACGTTTATTACCGACTTTCAATCGGTGTACTTGGTTCAGTGTCTTCTACGAGCAATTCGAAATTGACCAATCCCAGTTTGGATGTTATATCATGTTGAATGTTTTGTGCATATGCCAGGCATTCCACCAGAACAAGTCTGTTTCGAGGTGGATTGTTGAACTTGATCATTGCCTAGGGATATATATGTATAATGATTAGTTACGTGAAACACTCTCAAGTAGNTTTGTGACAGTGCAATTGTTGAATGCAAGCTACGATTTCAGAGCAACAATTGCATTATACCAAAGAACGTATCACTCTGACCTGATGTCAAGCACGCCTTCAAATCAACTTTTGTGAAATGATCAGAAGAACCTTACAATGGGTTGATGGTAGTTGGGCATGACAGCATAAGGATAATATCTTCCATCGATTCCAGCTTCGGGAATGTAGGTCACTGTACCAAGAGCCTCTTTGTCTGGATCACTCTGGAAAGAACCGAGTTAGAGTGCTGAAGTGTCGTTCATAGAGCACGAATGAACAATCGAATACGAAAATGACAGAAAGACACGATTTATCAGAAGTGTTAACCGTTCCATCGCAGCGAAGAGTGACAAAGTTCGGCTTGTACCGACCCCTGACAGCCTCAGGCACCGAATCCTTCGCATAATCGATGGGTTTCCATCCGATCAATCGATTCAGTGATAACACCACACACGGTTTACCCTCTCTGAATCCATAATCATCTGCTTCTCCACAGCCCTCCACCTCGAAGGGTCTTAGTTCGAAGCGACACGACTTAATAAACTTCCATATAATTGTGACATGATAATATCAACTATTCGGGGAGATCATTACAGTTGAATTGATGGAATAAATGGACAGGGTTAAAGATGAAACTAATTTGAATAAAACCTCAATGATGTCCTTGCTGCCGAGAGGAGCCGCCTTACCACTTCCGTCCTTGACTAGGTCAGCGTTACTCTGGGTTCCCGTACAGATTCGCGTAGCAGTTTGATTTTTGTACTTCGACAAGTAATCATCCAGTCTATTCACATATTTCTCGTATGAACTCTTATCTTTCACATTAAATCGAATTAATGTGGAATCTGGATCGTCCAACAGCCATGGCTGATAACCAACACCTAAAGTAGTGATTGTTGCCACACGAACAGTTATTCTTCAGCGCTTCTATTGATATTCATTTAAAGCTAACAGTCAAGCATTAAGTTCACATGCGAGTTCAAATGACATATCGAATAGAATGTGGCAGTAGCATAAATTAACTGATGATGCACGATGAATGCTCACATTTCAGCATTAGAGCGGATGGATATATTTTGAAGAATAAATCGATCACTTTCGAGGAGACTATATATAAATATATGCTCTTCGTCGGCAATTGTTTCACTTCTCTCAATTTCAATCAATCGAGAATGAAGTACACTCCAAAATGAATCGTCTACTGCGAGATGAGGGTGAACAAATAAAGATACCTGGATTTAATCCAATGACAGTTCCTTTTCCATAGTAACGTGGCACTTTGTCATCCAACGTACGAAGAAATATGGCGAGGCATCCGACCCAAAAGGCGGCCAATAACGAATAGAATACGAGATAGAATCCCAAAATTTGTGCTGAAATATCTTATGGTTTTTCTTTTGGACGATTTCACTTTTGAATTAGAAAGCGGTGACGACATCAACAACGTCGCCATAGAAGAAAACTTTGCTGAGGGCACTGCACGTGGAAGCGTTGTTCGTGTAATCAATTCACGAATCCTTTACTAAATCAGTGCTGTAAATCAACCTTGATATTGCTTAGTATATTCATGAATCTATTAATTGTAAGCAATATTCGACTTCATCCACAATGACCTAGATTTTCTTTATCATACCTTTTATTTAGTCTACTATAACAGTCAAGACCATATTCTTCATACTGTGCACATGACTTACACCGATATGTTTTATGAAGAATTGATTTTTGAGAACGAACGACGACTGAACGATCGGACTTGGATGGGATTAAATGATCAAAAGATAAACAAACAAATACACGGACTATGTGGAAATATACACCAGCAAAGTACTGTCGATCAATCCAAACAAAACTGACAGCCATCCCATNCATTCAATTCAGAATGCTCTCTTTTTCTCTCAATTCGAAACCGAACGCAGCAAGCAGTGAGCAGTATGGTGTAATCAAGCAGCAATTTGCACGCATACATGAGGTAGAAGTCGACTTTTGAGGCAAGAAAGCTTGCGATCGCAATGAATGGGTGGTGGATTCACTGTTTTGTCAGTTGCGTCAAGACGAAGACATCAGCAAACAGAGAAAATTCCTTTCTGATGAAAATGCTGCTTATGGAATGTAGTGATGTGCAATTTTTATTAATCATATTGCGTTAAGCAAATTGAAATTAAATTTTAATGCGATTAATAAATGACGACATTCTTAGAGAATTATGCACTTCTCTTTTATTTCAGCACTAGCATTAGACTACGTAACAAGAAGATAGCATTTGGTTTTTTTTTGACGGATATAATATTCAAAAAGAATACGACAACTTCTGACGAATGTAATTTTTGTTCACTGAAATATCAGCAGAATTTTTCAAGAAGTCAGCAACAGAATCTCGAAACGACATGATGCTGATTACTAATTTCTAGATGGTGAAATCATTCGAAAGACCAAATGAGTCAAAGAATAAAACTGCAATGCTGTTAAAAGGACTGTCTGATCATTTTATGGAAGATTGAGAGCAATAAGGATTGTATTCGAACGTCAGTATAGAAGAATTCGATCATAACTGATGCCGTATTGTGTATAAATATGAAAACAGATTCTCGCAGTGCAGAATGCAATCGAGAAAATGCAAGTGAGAGTCATCAAATCTGAGCAAGCTTTCATATTTTTCATTCATGTGTTACTCTCTGCGGATTCAAAAACGCAACAAATCACGATAACAGGCACATAGAGTGACGAATAAAACATTACCCCATGATTTCGCCGTTCGACCAAGGCATGTGCCTCTTTCCTTATTGAAGAGGAATTGACCGAACGATTCGGTTTCAATGGTTCCATTTGCCTTACCACGACCATTCATTAACTGAAAATCGCATGCTTTGAAAAATTGTAGCATGAAACACAAAAACTAAAGATGCTGCAGGACTCACAAGAGGGAATATAATCCCTCAAAAACAAAACTGTACCAAAAACACCTAACTTTGTTCAGACTCCGTCTATTTTTGTAAGAAAAAAATGCCGCAAACAAACAGACATAAGCTCACTGAACATAGGAAAAATTGCGGTGGTTTACAAAGTAAATGTTGCCCTCTCTCAATCAGCTTTACCTAAACAATCTTCTAAAACATAAGTGATACTTCAAGACAGAGGAATTACGCGTTTCAGCAAAATTCAATGCTAGGCGAAACCTTCTAGGGTTAAATTTTGATGAGACAATATTAATCCAACGCTGATTACAAATGGTGAATTTCACTTGTTCAAACAAGCAGACGAGGAGTGATAATAATCATGTAATCGCTCTGAATGATGAGAACGAAACACTGTATTGGCAACGGGATGGAATTATTGAGTGGTCCAAAGTTCTTGCAGCACAGAGGAGGTATCGTTTTTTCTTTCACAAAAAAAAAATAACACAATTTGCGAGGAAGAGTAATTTGGATAAGTGCAACCGTGACGTGCCGTCTTTGTGCAACAATAACGATACACATTCGCACTTTTCGTTTAGGTTTCCCTTAAATGAACACTGAGTATTTCTGAAGAGATTCAGACGTGTATCTCAACTGAATTTACATTGTTCGTCAATAATAGCCGATTCGCGCATTGCGATCGTCAAGGATTTGCGTTCACTTGAACGAGACTCAAAAACTGATACTCTTTGCATAGAGAAAGAAGACGCGAACGTAACGTTGCATTCTAGCACACACCCGACAAGCTATTCAACACCGTTCTCTATTGCAAAATGGTTCATTATACTCAACTGAGGCCATTAATTATGCAATAAACGAAACAATGCCTTTTCAACAATTGATTGCGCCTAACCTATGCTACAATAAAAATGAACAAGATGACGAAATCTGTAACGAAGGAATCATTAGAAGAATGGAGAAGTATCCAATATTCAGAGATGCCTACCGATAGACGTCTACCAATCGTTCCGCTACTGGTTGTGACTGATATGGTAGTGATGGGATCAGATTTTCTTTTGAACATCATTTTTTTGGTGATCAATCTGATTTATCAGAATTGGAACTGATCAGATGAATTCTGAATAAAATCGGCAAAAAACAGGCAGATGACTAGACCAGAGAGCGATTGCACTGAATGCTGCTGGCGAAAACATCAGCATGATGAACAAACGCAGCTCGGTAGTGTTCTGTACACAGGAAAAGCACAGGCAAATAGCATTGCTTTTGATTGCTTTTCATAACGAATTTTCCTATTTAATGTGCACAAAGGTTTATATAACTGTATAATTGAAAGAATAATATCAAATAAACGATCGTACGTGTGCGATGATTCGACGTCGAATACACGCACGTATGATAATCATTTTCTTGAACATCGATTTGCACTAAGCAAGCAAGCATAGACGACGCTGTTGCATCAATATGATACTGTCTACTTCACATCCCGAATTTTTGTAAGGATGCAATATCATTTTGAGTTGAGAATTTCATTTTTTCGTTTCACATTCAACAGATCATTCAATGTAGCAGTAAATGAGTTACGATTCATGGTGCAATTTGATCATTACAGAGAGTTTCGGGTACTGAAAAGGCGATTACTTGCATTCTTTCAATATCTGTTCTGAGAAAGTGCATTTGGTACGAATGCACTTTACAAATTGCTTGTTCAAATTGCTTCTGTCAAGAAATAATGAAACGGAACAATTCTGAACGAGAAAACGGATGCTGGTTCGAAACAGATATACTAAGTAGTGTGTAGCAACTGGAATAACCAGGCTTCAAGTTTCAGCACTACTTTTCAGTAACAGTAACAAAAGGGTTTGAAGATCGGATACGGNGATCAGTCCATGAGAACCATTCAATAATGTCAGAAAAGCAACAGTCACATGCTGAGCCGATAACGAGACCAGAAAGGCGAAGTACAAACAAATCTTCATAAAAAACCATCGACAAATAGAATTTGAAATGACTGAAAATGATGTACGTTTTGTACAGAAACGTGAACAGCTCACATCTGAAAGATAAAAGCAACGTGAATTATGATGGGTTGACAAATTATGATTGTCAAAGTAAACTATGAGTTGTCATAAACGTAGCGCCAATAAATGTTCACATTTTGATGATGTTTCGAGGATTACAACACGGCATTGTCTATTGGTGCGGCAACCAAATTGGTGCGATAACCGAGAGGAACCCTGCGATTAGATATGCCGCTGGGTAGAACCAGGTAAATAGCAGTGAGAGAACACGTCAAAGATACGTAGAAATGACAGGATGAAGTTACTTAGTATCAATGGTCATGTTTGTACTTGGAATGCATCTCAAAGCGAACAAATAATCATCGCATTATTGCAATTATCATATTACAGCGCCAACGGAAGTGAACTATTAAGCGATCATTTAAACGCTAAATACTAAAGGAATGAATGAATTTTGTTTCATTTCGTCAATAACGCTAATGACTTCAGTCGCATTAACAAAGTGATACCATTCGCAATGAATAGTTTTGCCAGGCGAATATGATCTGCACGATTAATACAACGACATACGGCGAAGGCACGGCTTCCAATTAAGTGCCTAATTTGAATAAAAAGAAGCGTAAGTGTGACTTTTCTGAGAGATACTGCACAGTCTCGAACATACGCATTCCGGAGTGGATTAGTGAAAGGTTCGCGAGAGAAGCAAATAGGATTCGAAGACGGGGACCGAACTTAAGGAGAGTATGCAACTTGGCGGTCGATCATAGCGAGAAGAGAAAATAGGATAGAATTGAGGTGTGATATATACTCGACTCGGGGTTAGATGGCATGTGAAGGAAATATTGCTGAAAATAGAGAACATGAAGGATCTGTTAACGAATCTATAAAACAGCTGAAATGAGGAAATGTCGAGAACAAAAGATGTATAATGATAAAAAGCGGTGTGAAATCATGCATTCAAGATTTCACAAAAAGACAAAACAATGGATCAATAGAAGATGATAATAATTGAAACTGATTGAATATTGATGACTGAAAGCAACTAAAAAATATTCAGTGACATTTTTCAACATCTCTAAATTCAAAGAATTGAAATATTAGTGCATTGGCGTTCGAAACAAACCGAACGAAGCGCCATCATTCCACACAAATTGAAAATCCTCATTGCAATCCATCCCGAGAAATTACAACTGGAATAAACCTAGAGAACCGCTCCGAATTGTTTTTCAACGTCCTCAGCTGATGCGTGTAAGAAACATTTGATGAGGATAGACCAAGAAGCGCAACTGAATATTTGAGTTGCCAGAGAAACTGGAGTTGCTAAAAAGAGAATAGGAAAGAAGGATGCATGAAAGGATTATAAGAAGTTGAAGAAATGAGCATCACTGGATAATCGCAGAAGATAACAAGCATTTCGAATGAAAGGCACATGTTAGACACGTTTACGGTAGTATGTTGCTCGCTTGAATCTTTCATAGATATTTCAATATTGAACACTCAATTCATGTGTTATGAGCTAATCAAGTATATGTGCGGATGCATTTACATGAATACGACAACCGTTCGTTCCTTCCTCTCATCAATAAATTATTTTCCCATTTCGTAGCGATTGTAAACATTTGAGCTCAGTGGTGCGTTACTGATCACTCGCTTATTGCTCCAACATACAACTCAATTAACAAATAGAGATGAAAAGCATTCGTTTGTTCTTCACTCTTTAGACGAAAATCATCGCGTTCCAAAAGGGAGAGTACAACCAAAAAAANAAAAAAACGACGTCATTCCTATCCCAGTTTCAAGGTCGTTATCAAGGCGAATGCTATAAATATGAATTGACGGATACTTTTACGGTCGATTTATCATTATTTTTCGATGGTGTTATTCACAAATCGATGCATTTTAAAAACATCTTTTGCTGTGCTGGAAAGGACTTGATTTGAATGATTTTATTTGATGATGTATGAGTGCGTAATCATTTTGAGTTGCCGATAACACCTAAGTATGATCTCTATAACTAATCACTTCAGATAATCATCGATGATGTCAACTTATGATTCACCGTTGCATTGATACATCACTTCCGAACTCAACAATTCAGCAAGACACTGAACTCCGTTCGATATGAACACTTTGCGAAACAATTTCAATGCGTTCCCCGAACAAATAATTTAGCAAGCTGCGCAATCAACTGGATTTGATGATAATAGCATAAAGATGAGCATGAGCTTTAGACGACCATGCATTCCTATTCCGTACGATGATGAACTATCATTCAGGCAACGTATCGTACACTTCAGTTCATGTATATTCCCGCATACGTGCAACAAAAATTTCACAATAACTTCGGAGTGTTTTTGTAAGCTGCGGGATGATTCATAAAGCGGATGAGAATCAGAATGCTGAAAGGATTACTTATAGAAGCTAGCTTACCCGCTCTTGTTGCTCCTTATTATTGCTATCGTCCATTATGACGTTGAGGAATTATTCTAATGGATAGTCGAAGATGATTATAAAGTAAACGGGAGAATCGACACTACAACGAGTTTATCGATGAGTTTCAGGATAATACACTGAAATCCGAAGCGATAACAGAGAATTCAAGTGGATCTGAACAGTTTCGTTGAGGCAAGTCAACTGCAGAACACCAGTAGCTTGGTTACTAGTCGAGAATACAGTTGATGAGAACAGTAAATGTCTCAGCAATAAGTGTTGTATACAGTGGAACACAACCAAATGCTGAGGACGTTTGCTGACAGATGAATGAGTCGATGAGATAGGGGTCAGGTCAGTTACACGAAGCACATACACACGCGCACGCAAACGTCAAGTATATGCACCAGCTTTGAATTGAAACGAAGCTAGTGATCTGTGAGTGGATCAGTGAAGAGAAATATTAGCAGCGACTTCTGAAGTAG